TTCAGTTAATTGAATATTGACCAAGTATAGCTTTTCTCTTTCTTTGTCAGTGTTTTTTTAAACGGTGACTGAAAGCTCCTTTGCACCCTGTCAATATGGCTGATAACAGACGTCACAGAGGAGAGCCTGATCACCAGGCACCCCCCCAGCATTCATTCATGCACTGAGGGGGGGCCATAACCGGCAGCTCCCACCCAAGCCCTCTCCCACATAGCTGCCTCATGAATCTGCTCAGATTTAAATCCTCTCATAGACCAGATGAATCTCTATTGATAGATAGCCGTTGTGAGCAGATAAGATCATCCAGCTCTGGCTGACCTTGGAGGGAGTGGAGATGGAAGGAGATTTATTGTTAAAGAAGGACAGAAAAGCAGCCAAACGTCTGTGCTTCTAGATCATGTACCCATGGTGAATGGGCCGGATCAGTCCAGGCAAGCATCCCTTCATCAAAAGTTGTGTATTTGCTAGTTTGTATAGCTGCATGCTTCAGTGAAGCCATTTTAGGAATAGTGCCTAAACAGCAGGCCATCTGGTCATAAATGCAGGTCCTTAATTACTATAAGATGCTTTCACACCACCAGAACCTTTTTCCGGAACCAGGGACTTTTCTCGTGTTCACACTGCAGGAACTGGGCCCAATTGTAGTTCCTCGGAGGTAGTTCCAGAACCCATTTTTCAGTACCTGCTGCAGACTAGGTACTTTTCATTCGACCTTGAACTTCTGGGCAGGTTCTTACCGTGATAGTTTGCTGACTGCTCGACCGCAAGCACCGGCGCTAACTTGGAAGTTACACAGAAGTGCAGGAAAATTGAGCCGATGGAATTATTATTGCACCCCAATTACATTTAATGCATCAATTAATACATCTTTTCACTTGCATCTCCATATTTCTGCATTGGAAAAATTGATCAGTAACCAATATACTTTTGTTTAATATTTCCGGTGCCTGCAGTGAAATTTGCCAGCGCTTATTAGCAGGATAACATCACATTGTTCGTTATTCTGTGGAAAATGAAAGATCAGTCTACTGGCCAGATTTAATAAGAATCGTAAACATGTTGCGGGTCAGTTAAGTAAAATATAAATAAAAGGCTGTGTTCCGTTTTGATTGTGATCAGTCCCCCCCAATAACTAATAAATAACTAACAAAACAACTTATTAATTCTCCATTGTTTTGGCAGGACAGTATAGTTTAATATTAAATTATGTGAAGTTTAACCTACAAACTTTTTGCATCTCACATGCTTATTTAACATAAATGTCCCAGTTCCTGTTATTTGGTGCAAAAGCAACACATGAAAGTGGCCAGGAGCTACAGAAGTTCCAGGTCGAGACAGATCAGGCACTTCTAAACTGGGACCAGGTTCCATAACTTCGGTATGAAAGTGCCTTTAAGCTGCCTTTTGCAAGGTCCTGTCCTGTGTATAAAAGGCTCCTGAGTCTTTGCAGCATGATCTGTATAGGATGAGCTCTGCGTATGTATGGGATGACCTGTACCCTCTGTCTGTAGAGGGTGAGCCATTCGCTCTGCTTCTGTACAGGATGAGCTCTGCGTATGTATGGGATGACCTGTACCCTCTGTCTGTAGAGGGTGAGCCATTCGCTCTGCTTCTGTACAGGATGAGCTCTGCGTATGTATGGGATGACCTGTACCCTCTGTCTGTAGAGGGTGAGCCATTCGCTCTGCTTCTGTACAGGATGAGCTCTGCGTATGTATGGGATGAC